CTGCGCTGGGCTTTGGCCAAAGAAGTCGAAGAACTGGAGGATGGAAAAGTCCAGTTTACAGATGAGGAAACTGAGGCCCAGGGAACGGATGAGGGCTCCCTCCATGCCACACAGAATTGGTGTCTGAGCCAAGCCTAGTACATCCCGTGTCACGTGTGCGCCCCTTCAGTCACTTGAGCACTTTGCGATGGAGAGAAGGCAGGTCCCGGGGAGGCTGTCCAGGGCCATGTGAAATGGGCCTCAGCCATTCAGCGCTTTGAGTCTGCCCCATGTGAGCACTTAGTGATGAGACGCCCTGTGGGGCTAGGGAAGGGGCCCTGGACTGTGGGTGGAAGGCCCGCATCTGGTCTTGTGAGTTGCTTCCCAGCCCAGTGGCCTCACCTGGTCACGGAGGGCTCAGAGCAAAAGTCTCAGCAGTCCTTTCCCTGCCACCCGTCTTGTAGGGTTTTCCCCTCTTTCCTTTATGTGTCCTTATGGTTAACACTGTTGAGTACCTACTATGCTCCAGGCATTGTAAGCATCTTCTTTGATCCACACAACAACCCTATGAAGGTATCCGCCCCCATTTTACAGACGAGGAATCGCAGCTCAGGGACCTGAGGGACTTGCCCAGGGAGTCGCAGCTCTAAGTGTCAGAGCCAGGACCCCTCAGTGCGGAGGCAGAGCCTTTGCTCTCCTGCAGCTCCCTGGGCTTCCCCGGGCCACCCCCAGGGGCTCCAGCTGTTTGGAGAAGGATGTCTTGGGGGACAGAGAGGGTGTGCATAGGGGCGGGGCATTGCTTTCCGCAGGTGTCTGTCGGCCTGGGCCCTCCCCCAGCTTCAGAGCAGAGCCCACGAGCTTCCCTCCCCCTGGTCTGGGGATAGAAGGAAGAGGCAGGCAGCTCTCAGGGAAGAATGAAGACCCACCCAGGGGATGCTCAGCGGGTCCTGTGTGAAGGCCGCAGGGCCTGCTGGGCCCAGGCAGGCTGTGTGGCTTCCTGGAGCGCTGGGTGTGGCGCCACCGCCCAGGCCGTGCAGAGGCAGGGGACCCACTCTTCTCGCAGCTTCCAGTGCCCGTGGCTGTGCACAGGCCTTTGACGCTCCTGTCCGAGCGCACCCACATTTCCTGTTCCCCTCACTGAAGCCTCGGGAGGGGGGCCTATGATCACCCTGGTTTTAGATGAACTCTTAAGGCTCATGGAGGCTGAGAGCGCTACCAAGTCGTTCAGAGAAGCTAGGGCAGGGCCAGAACTGGACCCCAGAGTGGTCTGCTCAGGCCTCTTACTCTCAGAGCAGGGACCCAGTTTAGGGACCAGGATGTGTCTGGCGAACTTCCTAGAAGTGGCAGGGGTTGGGGGAGAGTGGGGCCAAGCACCCCTGAGGCCTGGAAGCCGAGGGTCCCCCCGCCACAGCCGCCGCATTGCCTCTGCCTTCTGCTCTGCTGCTCTGCCTGTCTGTCTGTCATTCCGTGTCACGTGTGTGCGCAGACATGCCTGCTCCCCAGACGTGGGCCAGGGCCTGCCAGGTTCTCACGGTCTCCTGTGCTGTTTGCAGCCCAGGCAGCGACTGACCCGTGACCAGCGTGCGGAGGAGAAGCCTGCAGCCAGGGGTCCTGTGGAACCAGCTTGCTCTGAGAGAAGACTGAGTTTTCTTCCCCCAAGAAAACCCCTCCCAGCTGAGCAGGGGTTCTGGCTGGGGGAGGGGGCAGCCCACCAGATGGGGGTGTCCCCCACAGGGCTGGGTCCCCCACCCCCGCCTCGTGTTAGTTGACTCCTTTTGACATGACAGACGCACTTTTGATACACACTGTAAAATGCTGACACTGTATTTTAGAATCAGAATATATTTTCTAATGTTCACCTCAAGGGCTGAGTGGCCGGAAAGGCGAGGGTGCAGGATGTGGGGGCTGCGCGTGCAGATTCAGGTACTGTTGGGTGGTCGGTGTGGAGGGGGAGGAAGGCAGGGCAAAGCAGAGGCAAGTCCGACACCGATGAACTCAGGTGAAGGCTGGATCTGAGCAGGTGCTTCCAGTGGACTCTGCCGTCAGGGTCCTGGGCCTGCTCCCGGGAAAAGAGGGGCCCTGGGCTGCAGAGCTCAGCTGTCCCCGACCTGGCCGATGACCGGCTCTGGAGTGGAGACTCCACCAGGACGGCATGTGGAGCCCAAGTCTGTGCCTTGGCCCTTGGGTTTGGTTTCGGGAAACAGTGAGTTCAAGAGCTTTGGCTCCCGGCCCCCCCCCCCCCCCCCCCCCCCCCCCATGAGGTTCTCTCAGCAAAGGGCCCTTCTCAGAAAGAAAAAAGTGGTTTGCTTTCATTTAAAAAATATACTTTGAAATACAGAAAAGGTGAGAGGAAGCACCTTTTGTTGTATCGTAAGCAATAAACTCCACACTGGGTGGCATCTACCCAGCACTACTTGACTCCAGGCTAGGCTGGGGTCGGAATCCGGGACCTTTGCTGGCTGCCCCTGGAGAACCTGAGTCAGCTTTCCCAGGACTCGGTCTGGTGGCCAGAGGCCTGGCAGTGTGCCCCACCGTCCCTGCTGGCTGCCAACCAGCAGGGCACAATGGCAGGACCTTGACTTGACTTCCAGCCTCAAATGAGGAGGGGGCTGCCAAGCCAGGCATAGAGTTGGTGGCCCTTCATTTAAGTCATGAGCTCATGACATTCTGCATACAGAAAGCGATGTTTAAAGGAAAACAAACAAACAAAAAACCCCATCCGGTGGAGCCACGCTTTAAATGAAAATTGGTCTTTGACTATGGTCAGAAAAAACGTCTTGAATATATTTAGGAGTTGCCGTCTATTTTTAACTAACTCCATATGCTGCCAGTATCGACGTCATGCCAATTGCCAAAATAAGATTTTATTTTTGCCTTTATAAAGATTTTGTTGGAAAAATGAAATGAATATTTTGCAAGAAAAAGTTAATTTAAATAAAAGTGTAATGGTTTGCAAAAAAAAAAATGTGATGTACAGATTAAAATATTAACCTGATACACTTCCTGCTTCTCGCTGGCTGTGTTCTCACGAGGGGCCTGGGTTAGTCTTTGGAAAATCCGCACTGTCAGCTCCTGCTCCTGCTTGTGTTCACCTAAGGAAAGTTTCTCCCGCTGACAGCTCCTTGCTACTCGATGGACCTCAGAGGCCTGGGGGAAGAAGGCCTGTGCTCCTGGCCCAGCCGCTGCTCAAGGCGGCCCGCCCCCACCCCACCCCACCCCTGTGGACTCCGTGTGGGGCCGGCTTGGCAGGCAGACTGCAATCCAAGATAGCATGAGGGACTCCACCGGCTCCCTTCCAACCCACACACCGCCCGCCCGCGCGGCCCAATGAGGTGGGTTAGTGAAGGGCCATTGCAGAGTGGATTTGTATTTAATTCCTTTTGACTTGCGATATATGCTTAAAACAGAAGGCAAGAGGCCAGTTGCGTTTAGGGACGTGTGTATTTCCAAGTTTGTTGTAATGGCAGTTTTTCTCTCTTGCCAAGAAGAGCACCTGTGGTTTAGAGTGACTTTCCAGCTATTTAAAGAGG